CGATGACTTCTTTTTCCCCCACCATGTCCAACCTGAACCTCCTCATCACCAAAAAGAGGGGGATATGACTCCCTTTAGTTCTTTTAAGAGAAAAGATTCTGTAACCCAAATAAAACTCAATCACAACAAAATAAGGTAGTTGTTTGCTGGAGGAAGGGAGAAAATGCTATTCATTTATCAAAAGAGAGTGCTAAAAGCTTAACTACCTGTTTTTAAAAAGAAGCCAAAGCACTGATCCATAACCAAACAAGAAATACACCACTTCTTCATCTTGATTTGTGTAGAGGCAAAGCTATGGGCACAAAAGGTATTCTTCTTCAAATAAAATCCATTTTAAAACTTGGCAACCGCCAGTATAAATACTTCACACTGTTAATGTAAGCATTTCCATGCAGAAGTTTCATCAGCTTAACAATGTATTTAAAAAAGCTGGCGTAACTTCTGTGCAAAAACACCATCAGTCTTTGTCTTGTATATCTTACAGTGCTCCAGTCACTAAATTACCACTTAGGGCTATTAGCATCAGACCCCACCTCCCTGTTAGACTCACCAACTTCTCTCTAGAACAATGCAGAACCAAAACTATTCTTCTATAACTTATTTTCTTTAACATTGGAAATAGACACTGCTCTATACAGACTGCAAATAGGGTTGTATTGATTACAAGTGACGTTACGGGCCCAGCAATTTTACTTCAAGCTTAGTGTCCAAAACTTTTCTTTCTGCCTTTACGTATGGGTATAACATTCAGCAGCTGCTTTTTTCCAGCAAACAAGCTCTGATGCAGCTCAAATAGCCTAACTCCAAGATGCATCTTCAGTTAAAAGAAGCATCAGTAAGACGGTAACACATGCCTTAAGCTTTCTAAACACAGACTGCTCCTGCATCAGCATTTGTGATTTCGCATCGCCAGTTTTCCACCCATTCAGTACCATTAATATCAATTCCTTCACCACACAGTCTTGAGTCAGAAGCCTGCAATTTAATATTTAATTATGAACGAAGCAGCAAACCTCAAAATTAGGTCTGCCAGCTAAATTTCAGCTTCTTCCTGATGCAGGCCCAGCTTCTGACCGCTGAACCGTTTATGCTGCCTAAGCAATGGAGAGATCCTGCATCTTCCCCGAACCAGCCTACACCATTCCTCTCTATGTTACAGTTTGTGATTGCATCATCTCAGACCAGAGGCTGTCACATCCCTCTCAAACTCCTTCAGCTTTTCTCCACTTGCTTTCTCTGCATACCCTGTTATGAAGACACGCTGGCTGTATGTTCCGGGGAGAGCTGCCCTCACACGTGTCCACAGAGGCTGCCAGGACGTGGGCACAAGCAGAAGGACTCTCCTGGTGATTTCTGCCAGCCCTGGTGGAGAATCACATCACCCATCCTCTTCATTCGAACCACCAACACTTGTGAAACACCATGAGCTTAGTCAGCTCAGCACTGTGGAAATTAAAGCTTGGATCACGTAGCCAGCTTCCTTTAAAAAACCAAACCCTTATGTGCATCAAAGTCCCCATTGAGAAATTTCTCCATCTGTGCCTAGCAGCTCCAACACAACACTCCTCAATATCCAGCAATGGGAGATCACCATGTGTCCTCTCATCACCATCATCCAGGTTTCCTTTTTAACACGTTGTGTGCTTCATGACTAGGGTCAAACCCAAAAACAATTGGCAGAACTAAACCAAACCTCCCAGTTTGCTTGGCTTTCAGAAGAGATGAAGGCAGAGCTGCTCACAGGTAACATCATATGCTCTTCTCACTTCCCACCACAGGAGGAAAGCAAAGGCAACGGCGGCGAGCACTGCTCTCCAATGTTTTGGGAGTGGGAGGGGAGCCCCTTCTGACACAGAGCTCAAGAGACAGCAGAAGAAACTCACCCTGATAAGAGACACGATCATGACCTTTCGCCGCCAAACACCAAATTTCCAACTTTTTAAAGACATGTACGTTTTCCTGGAGTGCTCGAAAACCAGGCTGCAGGGCAGTTCTCAGGCACAGGTTTAATTTCTGCTCTTCGGATCCAAGGAACGCCATCCCGGCGTGTCAGAAGAAGGTTAATGAACGATTTAGCCGCCCTCACAACCATGTTAGTGTCACTTTCGGAAGCTGCGAGTTAATGCCCGAGATCTTCGGGGGTTACCCTCTTTGAAGTTCACTGATCCATAACCAATGTCCAATTAATTTGCAGGAGCCTAACTATAATGACTATTGGCCTTTTCCTACACATACAAAAACACAGTGGGTAACGGCGATGCTTTTGGCTTCAGGATATTCTCAAATAAGCATGCACATTTGCACACCTTCAAAATGTCCAGTGCTAATAACGGGTTGTCTTCTGCCGTTTGAGGAATTTTTTTACGTCTGCGCTCTCAAAAGCAGAGCTACCGCACTGAGATTTATGAACTTTCTCCTGCAAAAAAATTTGGAGCTGATTCAAGATGCTGATTTGCTAACAGAGAAATACTTTCATTGCATTTGCTCAGATTCCTCTTTATTTAGGGTTTCCATGGAAGTCACAGAATGGAAGTTCAATCTTGGGAAGATTAAACGGGCCCTCAGACATAATGCAAAACAGCTTATTTCAACATTCCCTCAAGAACAGAAATGAGAAATTCTTCCACACGTATGCAAAAAAAACCCAACAAACCAACAAATATTGGTGGAAATTTTCACAAGAAATTGCGACTCAGCCTTTCAAATGCTGCACTCGGCTATCACTTCCTGCTGCAAGCAGCTCCACCAGCTTCCAGCACAGATACTCAGGTGCGAAAGGAAACGAACAAAAGAGTCTGCAGGATAAAGATGCTACAGCTTAAAAACCAGCTTATTCAAGACAGCTATTGCTATACAACATCTGGGAAGTAAGTTCATTCAACCACAAGGTCTTGCACAAAAAGGACCAATCACCTCATAAATTAGTATTTCAGCAGGTTTTTTAGAATAAAAAATGCAGATTACGCAGTTCAGCAGCATCTTTCATGGCAATGCTCTGGACACACTACCAGAGCTGACATGCCAACATTTTGAAAATAAAATAATTCACTTATCTTCAGTTACTCCAGGCTGAGAAATGACTCCTGCTCTGGTGAGAATGGTAAACATTTCTGTGCCTCCCTACCCCACAGGTCAACAGAGCGTCAGTAGCCACAATGACAGGCTGCTGGACGCTACAAATTAATAGCAACGCATTTCTTCTGGCCTCTATCCCCCAGGTAAAGATTTATTTCATGTTGTTCCAATCTGGGACGAAAATGCCCAAGACCAAGGAACTCTACTCCAAAACGCTTCTAACTCGCAGCACGTTTCTTAAACCATTTTAAAATCTGGCACAGACACATTCAGATAACGGGTAAAGTGCATTTTTTTCTGAAGCTGGAGCTGAGAAGCATCATGTTGCATGAAGGTTTTTGCTACCTGCTCTAGTAAGAAAACCAGACACAGCTGAACCTCAAATAAGTTATTTTCAATCTTAAAGCCATTACCGCTTAAATAAAAAGACACTTAAATCGTAGACGTTTCTAATCCTTCACTTATGGTGGGTACCTGACCACTCAGTGAAAATGCACTTCAAGAAACATTCAAGGTTTTTATGAACTCCATGGGAAAGTCCCAAGACCCTGGGATATTTTTTTTCTGACTCCTGATTAAAAACAGTGGGAGTCCGCATGAATTCTTCCTTTCCCCCCCGCCCCCCTCAAGAGTTTCACATGCAACATCCCCTCCTCAAAATCTATAAGAAAACAAGAATCAAACCGAAAACATTTCACCAGCTGAAAGGCGCCGAGACCTTGGACGGGGCGGGATGCGTTTCCAGCTGCCAGCCTAAAGGGGTGGCCGACGGAGATTAAACACAGAAATGCTTTTCACAAGGCAGGCGGCTTTGAAGAGGACAGTTCAGCTACTTCATTTCGTAATCTTCACAAAGCGTCAGATTTTAGTCTAAGCAGGTCTTAAAACAAGGAGATTTTATTTTAAAAAAGAAAAGTAGGAATGTGTTCTGGCCGGGTTCTGTTGATTCAGCAAGGGTTAGACACACACACGCTTATTGATCCCAGAGAGCTCCCTGCTAAGTTAATTGTCTGGAATTTTAACTGAGCTCTCAGCAAGTTTCAAAATCCATGTTGGCTGGAAGTGGGTGGGGGACCCAGAAAAAAAAACAGGCTGCAAAACTGTGCAACTCCTCCAGTTAAAAAAAAACAGCAATTACTTTGACAAAGGGAAAAGCTGCAGCGGGGAATGGTTTTAACTGGATTCAGCGATTCTGACTTTGATACTGCTAGAATTCAGTGCCAGGAATCTCATGTGCAAAGCAGTACCATTATCAGGGAGCACTGTGAACCCCATTTCACTCATATAAACATTACCGAGGTGAGGGTATCTCCTGCAAGCTTCCTGCAGCTTCTAGTTGTGGCTCATCACAACAATTTCCTGGTGCATTTACACAAAGCTGCACTTGCCTGTGTTAGAGTAGCTGAACACTGACCTGCTGGTGCAGGCTATGGCCAACCTGAAACCACAGCTCGCTCAACTGCCCGCGCGTGCACGAAGACTGCCCGTGGCTCTGCACTGCCCACCAAGCCCCACCTGCCTCCACCAGACCATGACCAGCAGCGGTTTCCCCAGGTGAGGAACATGCTGCAGGGATGATTCGGGGCAATCAGACAGGAATGGCCAAAGACACCCTTACAATAACCTGCAACTACTTTCAAATAAAGCTCTGCGCTCCACCAAAGCACCCACACAACGCCATCCCATACTGATGCAGACGCTCCCCACCGCCCAAGGTCCTCCAAGGCTTCTCATCACCCTCGTGCCCATGGCGGCTCCCCGATCCGCTGCCCAGAGGCAGCCCGCAGAAGCGACGCTGCCCCGGCGCTCACCTACCTGAACTCCCTCCCCTCGCTGTAGCGCCGAGCCGAGGCAGCACGCTGGGTGGCCGGTTCCGCTGCCCAGAGGCAGCCCGCAGAAGCGACGCTGCCCCGGCGCTCACCTACCTGAACTCCCTCCCCTCGCTGTAGCGCCGAGCCGAGGCAGCACGCTGGGTGGCCGGTTCCAGAAGCAGCTTCTGCGTGAGCCTGCTGGAAGGCGCCGAGTCCCTGCTGGCCTCGGGCTCGGCCTCTTGGTCACACTTCCACTCCTCGTCCTCGTTCAGAGTCGGCAGATAACCAGGTAGCCCTTTACCTGTCCCAGACCCTGAGCTCGGATCACTATAAATTTTTGGACTTTCCCCACCTGTCCTTGTGTATTCCAAATAAATATCCGACTTAAGGAACAAAGGGTAGGTATTGTCTTCTATCATGCACTGAATCTCCGTTTGGGCCTGGTCAAACATGTCGGGGTCAATCTGCAGTTTCATGACGCAGTCTTTGATGAAGCTTTTTGTGGCTGGTTTGATCTGCCGGGACACAATGCCGTTGTTGTCGAGGATGTATTTTTTGTAAATGGCTTTTGCCAGCTTGAGTCTTTTTTCCTCGTTAGACACGCACGGCTCCAGCTTCCTGAAGCCGCTGCAGGCAAACCAAAAGTCCAGCAGATCCGCACAGTCCTCCTGTTTCAGGAAAGTCCTGAAGAGGTTGATACCATCTTGATCATCCAGCAAGGAGTGCAGGGACTCGGCCCACTTCAGGTAGGGTGGAGTTGGCGAAGCACTCCCCTCGGGCTCGTACCCCAAATCCAAATCGGAACGCCTCGGTGTTGCTGTGGACATCTCATTTCTAACCACATCGCTTTTACCGGAGTAGAAACCGTGGTTAACTGGCCTTGGATCTGTGGACACGAGTTCCCCCTCCTCACCAGGCACAGGTGGCCTCGGAGCATCTTCAGTGAAGCTTCCTCCGAGGTCCAAGGGGAAGCCTTTCCCCTGGATATTCATTTTTCTGGTCCTTGCTTGTGCAGGAACAGTGGAGGATGAGCTCAAATCTCAAATCACCAGTATTTGTAGCTCCAAGGTGAACAAGTTTGTTCGGCTGAAACAGATGAGAAAAAAATAAGTGAGTATCAGTGTAAATAAACACTCTAAGATTACAAACTACTGATTTTGCTCTGCATCATTACTGTACACCTCTTTTTCAGCAGAATCAATGGCAAAGCTCTCAGCAACTTCAGAGAGCAAAGAACCGGGCTCAAATCAGGCACCCTCTAAAAATGACAGTTACAGACTATCCCAAAACTTTACATCCAGCATTTGGCATCACTAATACAGCTGGTGCTACGCTAAAACAGCGGCCAGTTTGCCAATACCGGTGGTTTTACAGGACCCTAGGATCTGGCAGTCCCGCCATCCAAGAGATCTACGCTCAGGTACCATGCAGTGCCACAGGACACATGCCATCTTCTGCACTGCCATTAACTGCTCTGCACAGCCTACCCGGACAGCACATGTACCAGGTCACACTAAGGCAGCATGTTTTTATCCAGCTACCGATCTAGGAAATTCTCATCCCCAAACAGGAATTTAAGGCTTGTGAAAAATATTTTGAAAGAATATCCAGTTAGTCCTGAAAGCGAGACTGCACCTTAATCAAACACAGGTGGCTTTCGTACACTCGAGTGACATACCAGCGCCACATTCCTCACAAATCTCTGCATTTCAGAAATACGCTGTGTTGCCTTGTCTAGCTCTAGGGGAATCCAGATGCATCGTTGACCCCAATATTTTGGGCATCTGGAGTGCATTCTTGCTTCAGATGGGCATGTTAGCACAGGAGCTCAGTTCTGACACCAGTTTTTGTGGACAGGCCATTGAGAAAAGGTGCATTTACACTAACAACATTGCATGCTACAAGCCTGGGAAAATTTCAGGTCATGAAAGGAAGATGAGAAAACCACCTTGAGAAGAAAATCTGATCAAGTACAACGTCTTTAAAGAGCAATAAGTCAATATGGAGGATGGAAGGTGTGGGGAAGGAGTGGAAGGCAGAGAAGGGCAATCCCTGGGTTGCTACTTCTGCTGCTCTACAAGGTAACTTCATCATTTAAAGTCAGTACCAATAGTCTTGTTTTACAGAACAGCATCAGCCTTGAAGCCCCGAGTACTGCAGAGCACCAGCTGCCTGGTGATTTACTCCTTGCACTGGATTAACTCAATTGCATGTTAAAACACCAGGAAAGACACATTTTAGCTCAGCCTCCCTCCCAAAGCCTACCCCACCCCAACGAATACGTCTTTGGGATGCTTTGCCATTTTTCCTCCATTCCCTCTCCCCGGCTGAACCAAGAACCGCCGCCAGCGCCTTCCAGCCCACCTGCACACCGCGAAATTAGCCCAGCAAGACCAGGAGCGGCCGGCGAGCGCGACCAGGCCCCGTGTGCTCGACCTGTGCCGTGCACGGCAGGAGCCAGCGCCGCTCTCACACCCAGTCCCAGCCACTGCCCTGGCACCGCGGAACGGGGCTGTTTTTTCGCACCGTGCTGCGTTTTTTAGGTCGTTTTCTCCCCGGTTATGGATGAGAGCGCTGGACTCGCACCCCTCTCCCTGGTGAAGGCCACCAGTTACCCCTGCCCGGGCGCTGGAGACCCCCGGGGCAGCCCCTCGGCCCCCGGGGCAG